AAAAAACAGTACCATCCCATTTAAAACAATGTGTATGGTCAGCCAAAGTGTGACTGCAGCATAGGCTGGCCATACATACTGTTTTAAATGGGACAGTACTGTTGTTTTTTTTCATATTTCCAACCATCCCATTGTTTTAATATGAATGTCAATTTTGTCCCTTTTTCAAGAAAAATGCCCCGTTATGTTGCAGAAATAATTTCAAGATCCCTGTTTGAAATTGTGGTTTATATATATAAAAAAAATTGTTATGGAGTGTGAGAGGTTTTATGATAAAATGTTGAAAAACTTGAAAATTGCTGCTGTTCTTAGTGTTTTTTATAGGAATTTCTAGGATCTCCAGCACAACTTTATGGTCAAATTCTGGCAGAGTTGCACTGGAGGACTTAGAGATTCCTAGAGAGAATGTATTCATCAAAACTGCAAATAATCCAATCCGCAAAAGTCCAAGCCCCAAATGTGGAGGGACAACTGTAAATGCAAGATAAATAAAATTGAGCATTTCTTCATACGCCGTAGATTTGAAATGATGGAAACATTTCCTAGGGTTGCAGGGCATAGAAAAGATCGGGAACCGCTGTAAGTCGGCCCTCCATATCCACAGATTCCTTACCCGCACATTCAACTATCTACGGCTTGACCATATTTGAAAAATATATAAATTTCATAACACAAACCTTGTTTTTGCTTTTTTATATAAGGGACACCATTTCACTAGGCCATTGTATTTAGAATCATAGAATCATAGAAGAGACCACAAGGGCCATCCAGTCCAACCCCCTGCCATGCAGGAACTCCCAATCAAAGCATCCCCGACAGATGGCCATCCAGCATTTAATGGGATTTGAGCATCCACGGCTTTTGGTATCCATGGACGGTCCTGGAACCAAACCCCTGTAGATACCAAGGACCCACCATATATAGATTCTCTTGCATACACACGCACCCCATGTCTTTAAAAAGAAACTGATTTATGCAGTATAAAGCTAGCGGTGGTTATATATTACCTTTGGGATCGGAAACAGTACACTGGGGGATGTGGGCAAGAGGTGGTGAGAAGTGGATTCCAGTTGGTTTCACACAGAAGCACTCGGCTGAAGAGGTGAAAGGGGGAGATGCACAAAGTGGGATCATAGGTCCAGACCCCTGGAGCATGAAGCATTTCTTCAATGCGTTAATGAACATGGGAGGCAACATCTGTCCTCCAGAGAGCATCCAGAGAAGCGTGGAGCAGCAAAAGGCACTGTTCCCCTAATAGAAATTTTGCAAACACACATAGGACGTTATCACACTGGGGAAATCTGC